TTGTGTGCACATGATGTGTGTCTCTAACACATACATGCTTCATCACCATGTTGAAGAATTCCGTCTGACTGGTGTAAAGGGAGCTGCTTATTTACTCAGCAGCAGGTGGTCTTTTTTTTTTAGTGCCTTTAGGCAGACAGGACGGATTTATTACAGTCCTTCAGCAACAGACACAACATTTGATTTCCTTTTTCCAGAGCATTTCATTTCTTGAAATGTTGAGATGTGAGGAGAATTTCTAAAAGTGTAACAAAAGTGGGGCTGGTGGTGCAGTGGTTAGTGCACGCGCCCCATGTATGGAGGCTGTAGTCCTCAAAGCAGGCGACCCAGGTTCAAATCCAGCCTGTGGCTCCTTTCCCGTATGTCATTCCCCACTCTCTCCCTCTTCCTGATTTCCAACTCTATCCACTGTCCTATCTCTTGAATAAAGGCACAAAAAGCCCCAAAAAAAGAAAAAAAAGAAAGTGCATTCATTATGAATTATTCTACAAGATACAATCCAACTTTGTGGCAGCAGTTTGATGAAGGCCCTTTGCTTTGCAAGCATGACTATGCTTCTGTGCACAAAGCTTGGCATTTGAAGAGCCCTGATCACAACCCCATTAAATGCCATTTAAAGGAATCAGTAAGTCTTTTGGCGGCTTTCTGATCTAACTAAGTGCTTGACCACACAATTGCTCTTTTGATTGAACCGGCACAAATTGCCATAGATGCCCTCCAAGTTGCTGCTAATGGGGGAAGATTTCTAAATTGGTATCAGTTGTTTTAGAACGCAATGTGTACAACCCTCATCATATAGGTGGGATGGACAGGTGCTCATTGACTTTTGGTTGTACGATTTGCAATGTGAATTAGTGACATTAGGGTCCATGTCAGCCGAAAAAGGGGACCTGAATCTCATGAATCCAATCAAACTGAACAACAAAGTGACAATGTGTGCTCATTAAATGCTCTATTCTCACTCAATCCATGGAAGACTGGGTATGTGCAGGAGTAAATGGGTGTAATTGTGTGTGTCTATGTGGTTTTGCAGACAATAGCAGCGGTAAGATCTGATGGCATTAATGATCAGAGCAGACAGAGCCCAGACACTAATTGACTAATTGACGTCACTTGTCAAGAGAAATCAGAGGCTTTTTTGTTTAAGTCAGCAGGGAGGTCACGAAGTGTAATTAACAAGCAACTTATTTGGTAAGATTGGCGAGGACCTTCTAATTATCCTTTCTAAAGGACACTTTGGAAGGTTGTAAGTCAGTTGTGTTTCTGGAGCAGAAAGTGACAAAACTGAGTTTCATCAATGGCTGCCTGACTTCTCCATTGTTTGCCCTTTGAATGTAATGCAAGAGGCAACCAAGCAACATGGATCCCTTTTTGTTCTGTGGGCCATTGATCTGTACCACCTCAGGACATTCTGCTTCTATTTTAGTACTTGTGAAAGGCTAACTGGTAAACATTTATGTTTAGCTGTGTGGTATAGGTCATGATGGTTTCTTACACAGCTACTGATTCTATTGCAGCCCTTAGCTTGTAAATCAGTTTTGACTCATTGACTCACATGTCCAAGTGATGACAGTCACTTCCATTTTTGTATGCTTTCCTAATGCAGAAGAATGATTGCAAAATGCCAAACCATCGAACTTGTAACCGTTACACTTCAAATGTTCTTAATAAGCAGAATTCAAACAAGAAAGGAGACAGGAATATTCTTAAAGAACATCAGTATCTTGAAGTTCTGTTGTTCAGGATTTAGTGATACTTTTTATGTTTCCATTTTGTTTCAAATTTGCACGAGAACTGGCATGGGTGGTAAGTGTTGGCAGTGATAAGTCAAGTTTACTTTATATAGCACATTAAGAAACCAATAGACCAGACTGAAAGTTTTGAGTCAATGCAGATGGTCAAATCTGCCTTAAATAACACATACAAGATATATACATATATCTATATATATAGATATATACATATATCTATATATATATATATATATATATATATATATATATATATATTGTAATAAAATGAAATAACAAAGAGCCAACAAGAAAGCAGAAAGGTTCTGAAAATTAACTTGGAAATATGTTAAGAGTGGATGTATGAAAAAAATCACGGGGAAACTGAAAGAGAAAATAGGTTTGCCATTGAATTTGATCCTCACACCAAGAGCAGGACTTAATGGTAAATGGACTTTAACTTCCACCTGCTGGAGGTGTGACATGTGGTGTATATGTCACACCTCCACATTCACATTCACACCCTTTCACACACTGATGGTAGTGGTCACTATGTAGCATCATCCATCAGAAGTAACTAATCCCATTCATACAACACCACTGAAGCAGCAGGCACAATTCAGATTTAAGAGTCTTGCTCAAGGACACATCAGACATGTTGACCAGCTGGGGATCAAACCCTTGATTTTCTGGTTGAGAGGCCACAACTCTACCAACTGAGCCACAGCCCCTCGGATCAGAGGGAAGACTTTTCCAGAACATGGAGTTAAAGTGATGACACCATTGGTTTTTAAGTATGTTCTGTGAGGATGACCTGAAAGACCTTTGGTCTGCTCAGTAATTGGCATCATCTTTTGTTGGTTCGACCGTTTTCAATTGTTGCTGCTTTTGTTGATGCTTAAACTGGTGAGGAGCTCGGACACGATTAGACATCGACCCAAACACGATTAAATCTTGTTTGTTTTTATTTAACTAAAGAGAATTCCTCATCATCCACTATCTGTCTTGATGTCATTTAGTCAGTCAAAAACAAGTTGTTCAGTAAGCAGGCACTGCTGATACCAGTATCACTTATGTACAGTTTTGTCTCATTCACATACGATACGCAAGTTATATTAAAGATAAAGTAAAGGGGTAGCATGTGGAATGGAAATAAAAAGACTGATATTAAGCTGGGATGGTGGTGGTGAGGGTGGTGGTGAGGGTATTATCAGACATAGTTCCCTCTACAGGAAAGTCATCAACATCAATATTCAAAACAAAATGGGACATATCTATGCTGTTTTTATTGACAGGTGATGCTGGATTCAGTATTAGGCCACAAGAGGAACACCACAGCAATGACAGGTAAGAAGGGAAAGACCGGTACTTAGACCAACACAATGAATGGTGGTAATAATAATAAAGTTTATGATAATGGCAAAAAGGATGGTTACAATAAAACGTCTTTATGAGATTTAGCGCCAAAAACACACCATCTTAATGTGAAAACTAAAGTCTTTCAGCATTTTAAAGGTTGATTTTTATGCCTTTATTTAGAGACAGGACAGTGGATAGAGTCCGATATCAGGGACAGAGAGCGAGAGAGAGAGAGTGTGGGGAATGATGTGGGAAAGGAGCCACTGTTCAGGCTTGAATCCGAGCCGCCTGCTTGGAGGACTACATCCTCCGTACATGAGGCCAAGCACTCACCAAGACGACACCAACCGCGTTTACAGTTCAATTTGAATAAAAAATAGAGCCTGACCGATTATTTTGCCAGCCGATAACATTGGTCGATATTAGCATGTCCAGTGATTATCAGTATCGGCTAATTTTATTGCAAATATGTGCCGATATTACTAGATGTATTTACCAGTTAAATAGCATTTCATTTGAGTTTAATTGTATTACACTGGTAGTTCTCTTTCTGGCTGTCACCAGCAGAGGGTGCTATATGGATTACAACAAGCAATATCAGTCTGCAGAGTGTCAAGCTGTGATCTACGAACATGTGCAGTTACTTACCAGTTGAGTGACCATCTTTTCTTCTTTATACATTTTTCCAACAAGTATTTTGATAACTGCATTTAAGGGATCAATGCAATAAATGTGTATCTCTAAATCTAGCTCTACAGATCGAGCATAGATCTAAGAAAAGATATCGACCGATATATCGGTATCAGATTTTTTCTCTCCCCAATATCAATATCGATATCAGCCCCAAAAAACGCTTTTTGGTCTGGCCCTACTCAAAACATGAGATTTACAACAATTATGATATTTAATTTCCATCCTAAACCAGACTTGTAAATCCAATGAATAATTATCCACTAAAAATATGTAAGGTTTTAGCTAATACCAGATTATAGGATATCTCCTCATATCTTTCAAATTCTGGCTCATATTAAGAGAAGAAAAAACTCAATAGCAAACAAGTGTGGAGAATAAATCATTTAGGAATCTGAGATCTTCGGAGGGAATATATACTTATTCATTTGCACGCAACCTAAATTAATTATTTATCTTGGGGAATGAATAAATTGTCCCCGCTGGCCTGTGATTGAACTGGAGCTGGTGAAAAATTCAGCCGCCGCCTCTGCCGAACCCCAGTGAGCGTCTATTTAATGAAAACAACCGAACAAGAAAGAGAACCCGGGATTTAATGATTGCATTTGGGATGGGAGTGGAAATGGAAGAAATAATGAGAGAGAGGGAAGAAACTCAGGATGAGACTCAGGTTTGTGTTTTTAGAACTGATGTTTAGATTTAACTTTTAAAACACTTTTTACAGATCTCTTTATTTGTTTCATACCGGTTATGTCTACATGTGCATTTGTGCACTCAAGTTTACCTGTAGAGATGTACAGAAAAACTTTCCTACTTGTTGCTCATTGAATTCTCTTGATAATCATGGTTTGCTTTTGCTTTTTTTTCTTTAGCTTTTTTTATTAATCAGAGGAAATGAAAAGAAATAGCTGGAAGATTAAGCCAATTGGGAAAAAGAGGGCTAGAGAGGAAGTGAGTGAGAGAAACTGAGAAAATTAGAGTGAGAGGAATGGGAATACAGATGAAAGTTGATTTTGTCCCTCTCATTTCCACTTTAACTAAGTTTTCCTGGAGTCCTGAATAGGCGTGCATGCCTGCAGTCGGGTGTGTGCAGGGTGGCCACAATGATTGGGAATCCTTCTTCCTCCGCCTCCCTGAGAGAGAGAGAGAGAGAGAGAGAGAGAGAGAGAGAGAGAGAGAGAGAGAGAGAGAGTAGTCACACGCGGAGAAGAGCGGGACGAGAGAAAGAACAGAAGAGAGCTGTCAAGCTGCGAGGGAGCAGCGGAGAGACGTCTTAGTTTTTTTTCCTGGAATACATTTCCCCGTCCATCTCTGAAGCCCACACACACACACACACACACATACTCACACACTCTCTTGTAGACACACAGACACAAAGATATGAAACACACAAACACACAGACGGTAAAGTGTGTGTGAGTGCTTCTGTTACTCTCTTACAAGGAGCGCTGAATTATTTTCAGGACCTGGACTCTTTGGAGCCTGACTCACTTGGACTGTATGAGTGTATTCAGCATCTTTGTGACTCGGACTTGAACTCAAACTGGATTCAAAGAGTGCAACACTTTGGACTTGTATCAGCACATCACCTGAATGAATCACTGAGATTTTGACAGAAGCTGTATTGACTCTTGTGAGTTGCGGAGAATTTAACTGACGCGGTGTCTGTGCTCATGAGGAGGATGTATTGGCCGGTGACAGCGGTCCTGCTGGCCCACCTCGGGGCCACCTTAACAGGGGCGTGGAGAGCATCACAACCAAGACTGCAGTTCACACACGCCGGTAAGATTAGCTTCTTTTCTTTATTCTACTGTTGTTAATGTTTCAAGTATTGCTCCACTCTCGCCTTCTTACATCTGTTGTGCTTTTCTTCTTCACACACACACACACACACACACACACACACACACACACACACACACACACACACACACACACACACACACACACACCCAAAGGAAGTGACAAGAATCATGCCCCTCTTCTCATTATTCACTTTTTCTTGTTCCTCTTCTATTGTTGCCCACACACTGCCTGGAGATAATGTGAGGAACAAATTATACCTTTGCCTTTTGCTCCCTCTTCATGTCTACCTTTTTGTTTCTCTCTGACACCGCCTCACTTTCTCCAGCTCTGCAATCAACTCTAAAAAAATTAATTTTCCTCCAGTCGTCAAGTTTCCCTGCCCACCACCACCAGCACACATTCTCCTCTCTCTCTCGCTGTGCTCTTTTTCAGAAGTAGCATAATGTGTGTGGTTATCTTTTCACACCAACACTGTCATAATGTCAGAAGCTGTATTGCTAAAGTCAGCATTCAGAAATGGATGGAGCACATAACTGTAAGGGCGACTGTTAAGTGTATAAGACAACTTATTGGAAAATGTTTCTTCCTTTTTCCATCATCTCTCTTAGATGTGATAACATTTTACTCAGCCTTGGTAATCACTGACATTTGGAAACAAGGTGACGTCTATACAACAATGTCAGACGAGGCAAAGTAACACAAGAAGACAGTTTGTGAACAGGCCAACACACAGGCCAACCTGTTACTTATTTCTTCTTATTAGACTGGAAAACTATGTGCAAACACCATTAGACCAAGTAGAGTAGGGCAGAATTGAACAAGGAGGCTTGTCTGTATAGATGGATGTTGAGTTTAGATAAGCACTTAATTATTCATCTTTTTTTTTTTCCGTTTACCCTGAAAAACTTCCTCAGACTTCTCAAGTTCTTTGCCCTGAACTTTTTTTTTTAGAGATTTAGATGTTTTTTCCAGATCCTAAGTCTTGACTTGGTGAGTACAACATTATCATTATAGATAAATGGACAAAAATAAGAATTTTGTTGTGAAAAAATTAAATAATGTACAATTTTTTAAAATTGGTTAAAATTAAGGCCAGACCGATATGGGAGTTTTTGGGGCCGATACCGATATATAAGGAAGAGAACAAAAATCTGATAGCGATATATCGGCCGATATCTTTCTTAGATCTATGTTCGATCTGTAGAGATAGATATAGATAAATATACATTTATTTTGTTGATCCCTCAAATGCAGTTATAAACACTTGTGGAAGAGATAATGAAGACAAGATGGTCATTCAACAAGAGAGTAACTGCGCATGTACGTGTATCACAGCTTGACACTCTGGAGAGTGATAATGCTTTTTGTAATCCATGTAGCACCCTCTGCTGGTGAAAGAGAACTGCTTGTTTATTATAACATTACTCAAATTAAATGCTATTTGACTGGTGAATAAATCTAGTAGTAACAGCACATAACTGCGATAAAGATTAGCCGATACCGATAGACACTGGATATGCTAATATTGGCCGATATTATCAGCTGGCTGATAAAATGGTTATCATTAGTTAACATTTTTATTGTCAGTGTTTTTAATATCAATGCATGCAATCCAAATCAGATAAAAAAACACTCTTATATTGGGAAGACTTCACATGAGGCTATGTTTTTGCCCCGAGATGTGTTTTCTGTGAAATTAAAATCTTTTGTAAACATTTATCAAGCTTCATTTAGGCCTCACTTCCGCAGGCAGACTCCCTGTCACAAAGTGACTGCCCGACAGCAAAACCGCCCTGTCAGGATTCAAAATCAATAGTCCATGTGTGTAAGCCTCAGTTGTGGCCAACAAAGAAATGATTATCTGATGGCAGAAATCCCAGATCCTCATCACCACCAAATTAATTTTGCTCTGGCCCTGGGCCAATCAGTGCACCGCAGTAAAATCCATGCAGCGGTTGGTAGAGGAAAAACCTGCAGAAAGATACGCAATGTTTCTCCTTTTCAAGTACAATATGTAATCACAGCTGACTTGTGAATTGGTATTATCATGTATTTCTTCTGCCTGTTGCTTCGTGAACTTGTTAATAGCCACCGTGCAGCATGTTGCATGAACACATGCTGGATCAACATGCAAGCGTTGAACAAGGATCGCAGTAAATCCTGCTATTGTGATTATGTATGGTTGAGTTTGGAGGCGAGGGTCCTCTGAGAGACTGAGGAGGCGCTGCATGAACTGCTAATAGTTGTTGGTGTTTGTTATAACGCTGTGGGAAAATCCATGCAGTGGGGAAAATACTGACAAATTGATGGACGCTGTATGTGACGCTCTCTGAGATGTAGTGAGCCATTAAACCCTGTCAGTCTCAACAAACACATTTGAACTATGTGTTTGGTGTTTTGTTGCAATGAGACAGCAGACATCTGCACCGTATAATTAACACAGGAGTCGAGATTCTTTCTTTTACGTTCTCAGCTCTAGTTACATCAAACTCAAATGAAAAGCTTTTGAGTTTAGTTACAGTGAGATAAACTCTTCTCCCTTTAATCATGTTTACCAGACACACTGTAGAATAAGAAACCAACCGATTACACATTCTTACATAAGCCGGAACACAAAGGGTTTGTGAAGTAGATGTGATAAGGCTGAAGTCGACCAATCGTGACCTAGAAAGTAGAGAGAGAGAGAGAGAGAGAGAGAGAGAGAGAGAGAGAGAGAAACCTTGTTGGATTCTCCCAGGTGGGAATCTAGCTCTAATGAAATCTGAATGTGGAAATGTAAAGCACTTCTCAAGTAGCTGGGAGTGTGTGTGTGTGTGTGTGTGTGTGTGTGTGTGTGTGTGTGTGTGTGCGTGCGTGCGTGTGTGTGTCTGTATGTCCTTGACAATGTATGTGTATGTGGTTGAAAGCGCTTGAATGAATTGCTGCATAAGTGCGTTTTTCTGTTTAACTCACTTTAAAGATGAAGCGTGTGTGTGTGTGTGTGTGTGTGTGTGTGTGTGTGTGTGTGTGTGTGTGTGTGTGTGTGTGTGTGTGTGTGTGTGTGTGTGTGCTTCCAGCATCTCTGCCCACCTCAGTCTTTGTTGTGTGTTCTGCTAATGTGAATCATCACGTCTTTAAACAACAGGTTTTAGTTCTGTGTGTGTGTGATTTATTTTTACATCATAGAGAGAGATCAAACACAAAAATAAAATGTGTGATGTTTGTCCACCGTCCTATTTGTTCCTTTTTTTTCTCTATCTCTCTGTGGGAGCTCCATGCAGTGGTCAGTTCCCTTCTCATCCCCACACAGAGGGTTTTTTGTCTCAGACAGTGGGAGATTTTTTTTCTTCTGTGAAACTGCTGTAATTACAAGAAGATTTCAGTTCAACTTAAACACTTTGACATACGGGGGTTGTTTGTCCGTTTAGAGAACCTGTACATTTCCCCCCCCCTTCATCTATTAAGCTCACAACTCATTGATAATCCACTCATCGGACATTGTAGTGACGGTTTTCAACCCATTTCTGCAGAAAAGTGGATCATATAAAAGCTGTGTATCGCAAACCCAACATGTCCCAGTGATCAAAGTGATGATGCAGAAAAAATAAGGATGGATTATTCAAAATCTACCTGATATCAGACGAATGTCAGAAAAAAATGTTAGTATTTTATGAATTCATCAACTCAGCAAACAAAGGAGATACACAGCTGTAAAACTGTTGAAGCGCTGTTTCAATTCCAATGCTAGTCAACCCTCTGAAAAAGATTTTTAAACTCAGAAGAAATTTGGCTGTGCAATGTATACTTCTGCAGACTTAGAACCAATAATTTAGCCGCTTTTATTTCCTCTCCTGGCTGAGAAACCGCTCCAACCACTGTGCTTTTGAAAACTATTTGAAACCACATTCTGAAATCCGTCAAAGTGAAATGAAGCTTTTTGACATGAAAGCTTTCACCTGCCAGCAGCAGAGGACTATTTGATTTCAACCAACAAGCTGAAATGGGAAGTTCCTCGTTATGCTGAAACTGATTTGAGCTATATATACAGATGCTCAAATTGTGTCATGTTAATATAAAGTGCATTCACTGACACTGGGCTGATGTCAGTGAGCACTGCAGAGGACACATGTCCAGGACTATATAATGTCCAACAGAAATAGAGGAGCTGATCACAGCTGAAAGAAAAAGAAACAGTGGTGTGAAAGAGATTACAAAATAATTTAAGGATCCCAGAAAACAAATTCAATCTTTGAAACATTATCTGTTATTTTGAAGGAATGTGTAGTTAACCTAACAAATAACCAATGGATATGAATAGTCCACCCTCTGGACCTGCAGACTGAGATTTCAGTGACATCAAGGCTGCAATGATAAAATGTCCTTCTTGTTTTGTGAGTCAACAATATGAAACTTGTACATGTTGTGTCTGTATTGCAATGAACTGTAGCTCTTTAAATCAGTGAAGTCAGGTGAAGATTATTTTGATTTCTGCTTCTTGTAGTCTGGTTTTATTGATTCTCCTCAGCAGCACGAACAGACTTGACCAATTGTGCCATTTGTGAACAGGCAAACAAGACAATTTTCTGAAAAATGTTCCAGAATTTGAAACACAAAAGCTTTAAAGTACTGACAGAGCTCATCTATTAAGGCTCCCTGTGGGGCTTTTGGACCTATAGTTACTTGTGATCAAGTGGGCTGCTCTTCAGAGCCATAATTCGGCCATCATTTCGGAACCCATTTGCTATTATCTGACAACGATAGGCCTATAACCTCAGAGAGGCTTTCAGAGCTTTCTTTAACTGTTTACATACAGAGAAATTCTGCTCATGACTTTATTTTCTGTGTATTGTCATTCTTTGCAGTTTCTCAAACAACTTGAGAAGGGAGTTGGGATACAATGATAGTTGCATTTGAATGCAAATTTCTTAAAATAGAGATTATTAAAGGTAAATCATATTGAGATGACAGCCAATGGAAGCTGGGATTACATTCAGCTC